CAAAAATAGTTTAATTATTATTTTTTCCCTATATTTTTAAATTTTGTTTATTTTGGTTCCTCTACCTTCAAAATGTCTATTTTAGTGCCAAGACGAGCATAGCTATGCATTAATTGGTATATATATCCAACAAAGACTTTGTGAGTTCGATCTCCAGCTCCCACATGATATACTAATAAAAATGTCTATTTTAGTCTCTATACTTTCAATTTTTATCTATTTACTCATTATACTTTCGAAACTTCCATTTTTGCCAACTTACTTTTAAGAAGCGACAATTTTGGTCATTGTTAGAAAGATTTTAACAAGAAATTTATACACAACGGAACCATTTCATACAAAGTTATTACTCCATATAAGAAAAGTATTGAACTTAGTATTGTGTTGAAATTGTTGCCAAAGAAAATGAGATAAGAAATAAAACGTAAGAAACAAAAGTAGTTATGTTTTCAAAATTAAATACATAAATCAAAATGGGTGTTTTAGAAGTACAAATACTAAAATGAACAAGAAAGAAGAGAGGGAGAAACGACGTAGATCAAAATAAATATTTGAAAAGTATAAGAATCAAAATGAACAAAACTGAAAATATAGAGAACAAAATAGTATTTAGACCGCAAAACATGTACAGTTGAGCCTGGACTAAAATATTATTCATATATCTGTAGATAAGAGGGTTAACTATTGATATTAAGGATCAATTATATTTATTATATCCTGTGTTAATATCAAGGAAACATAAAAATATCACGAAAATATAAATATTAATAATAAGATTTATAATTTAATAAGGAAGTGCAAATAACTTATTTATAAACTAAAAATTATATACTTTTTTTTACAAATTTCTTGATTTACCGAAATATCCCTCAATATTAATATTTTATTTTACATCTCGATAAAATTAATTAAGATCTTTTTTCTTATTTCTTGAGTTCAATAATCGCAGGAACCGAGAATTGAATCATTAACCCTTATCCACTAAACCATATTCTCGAATTTATCATAAAATTGAGATTTGAATATCTCGATGTACATCCATATATAAATTTTGGTTGGAGCATAATTAGGTTGTCACGTATAGCTTAAAAATATTTGCCTCTCATATCTTTAAAAAAAAAAAACCAAAATTATCCTTTTCCTTTTGGTTATTCCCTTTTTCTAGTTCAAACAAGGAATCCGAACTTGCAATCTTTATAAATTTTGTTGATATCTTAATTAATTAAGCTATATTAAGTTTACATCTTTTTTTTTTTTTTTTTKCTTAATTTCTCTCTCTCGAATGTAGGAAAAATTAATATAAATTATTTTAATTTGGTTATTTACAAGTTTAATCTATTGAACTTCTAAATTTGTGTCTAATAAGTCATGAACTTTCAATTTTGTATCTAATAAATCTATGAACTTTAAAAAGTGTTTAATACGTCCTAAACTTTCAATTTTGTGTCTAACGTTAAATCCCTATACTTACAATTTTATATCTATAGTTCTTTATCTATGATTTTTTTTTTGTTTTTTTAGTACAAAAAAATGGGGTACGAGAGTTTGAATCTCTAGCTCAAGAGAAATAGTAAATGTCAATTACTGCTGAGGTAGGTATTTGATATTCTTAAAAATATATGAACATGTTAGACACAAGATTCAATTTTATATGTCTTACAGGTTCATTGGTTAAAAAAAAATGTTGAATGAGTATCGAATTTAATTAGACACAAAATTGAAAGTTTAGAAATCTATTAGACACTTTTTAAAATTTAGAAACGGACCTATTAAATACAAACCAAAAAACTCAAAACTAAACTTGTAATTTAAACATTGATACGAGGGTAATTTTGAAAAATTACGTAGTACTACTTATAAATTCAAACCCTACCACAAATATAGTACCCATCATTTGCTCCTTCTTGTCTCTGTCCTTTTTCTTTTAAGAAACATAAAAAATATATATAAAAAATAATCTGTAGATAGAAATTGGTTTAATTTCTACAAATTTCCACATAAAGTTATTTTAGTTGGTGATGTTATTTCTTTGATGTAAAATATTTAATAGAAAAATTGTTACTCAATTGATAAGTAGATTTTAAATACGTTATTGTTAAAAAATTATTTAACGTGAATGTCGTATCATACCCATCTCTAATAATTTGATATATAAAATATAAGTTTAAACATTATTTTGGTCTACTCAATAAAAAAAACATTATTGTATTTTGAAATGATTATTTTGGTTTTTATACTTTCAATTTTTATCCATTTTAATTCTTATATACTTTTGTAAACGACTGTTATGGTCCATGTATTTTTTAAAAGTAATCATTTTGGTTCTTGATTTAATTTTCTCCACAAATTTTACAAAGTAAATTCTTTAACTTAAAATTATGATTACATTCCAAGAAATTTATTGGGTGTAACGTTGTGCTAAAAATGAAAGGTCCAAAATAATTACTTTTTTATTAAGGTAAACAACAGTTTAAAGTTCAAAAGAACATGGACCAGAACGAACCGAAATTAAAAGTACATCCACTAAAATAATATTGAAACAAAAAGTTTATATGTCCATTAAAATCATACATATATATATATATTTCGGGGAGAATAAGAGAGAGAAATAATATAAAGATTTGATTTGAGAGGGAGGGAGTGGGATAGGGATTGAGATTGATATAAATGTATGTATTTTTCTTCAACTGCCAACATTAAATTACAGAGGACAATGGGACATGACACCGAAATCAATCATTCAAGCCCCTGATATTGATTTCAATCCAACTCAAAATAACCGAAGCGAGTATAGCTCATATATATCTTCAGTTAAAAAGTTGTGAGTTTGATCGTCTACCTCCACATGTTGTACTATCAAAACATTTTTTTTTTATCAAAGAAACGTTGCATTAAAAAGAAACAGGACTACTAAGGGTTAAACAGAAGCCACAGAGGATAACAACTATCCCAAAGGACAGAGAAATCATCATTATACTTAGCCAATAAAACAGGTTTGTCTATTTAAAAAAGTAGGAATATGGACAAATTTTAACCCACTAAACACTTTATCCAAAGTCACAACATCTTCAATCTCATTTAATGATTTCAAGAGATTCATCAATTAATCGAGGAATCTTGTCAATTATGGCACCTCTATTTAGGATTTGAAGAGAAATAATTATCTCCAAAGTGCCTTATTCTCCACCATGACAGGTAGGGAAAGATTAGGCAAAATCCTCGAATCATGTTGGTCATGGATCTCAAATAAAATTAACATTAATAGCCTCCACATGTTCTAAAATGGTGTTTGAGCCGATCACTGGCATACCTCCGTCGTCGCCCACCTTCTGCTCCATCATCTTTGTCCCTGAACCAGGGAAGTTCTCTGAACCAAAGTGCAACGAAGATGAAGAGTGATTTCTGAGATCGCAGGCGAAAGTTCTTTCTAATTTTGTGCCTGATAACTCTTCAAAACACCTCGATGACAAAGTAATTGACATACATAATAATGTTGGCTTTGATTTTGTCAACTACAGCAACATTATCCGCATGCAATGAGGAGATCCCCAACACCCGACCACCGTCGCCATCACAGAAACTAGCAGAAAAGAAGGATCCTCCCCAAAAGTCGCCTCCACAACAACAAAAGAGGTCTCCCTAATTTCTCGATCCATGCTACTTATTACTTGAAAAAAATCATGAAAAAAACGGTAACAAAGTAGAGAGGAACACCCTCTGAGAAAAACTCAGTCAAAAGATAGAGAAAACGCACCCCTTCACAGAGAGTAGAATGTGAAGAGAGGAGTCGGCCACTGGCCACCCCCTCCCCACTTTTTTGCTCTCCTTCAGTCTTTGGAGAGGAGAGAAAACCTATACCTTGTAGCTGTTCTTGTTGTGGGGTTAACCGTATACTATTTAAGGATTATACGGCCACCGTTTTTGTATATTCCTTAAACAATATTAGAAGCATGACATGTAAGCCGTAGTTAACGACAAATAATTATTAAACACAAAATTGAAAATTTACGAATCTACTGTGATAACTTTTGAAAATTTAAACATTAAAAAAATGCAACTATAAAAGTTTATAAGCTAATTAGGTACCAAACTTCTAATTTAACTTCAAATATTTTATTTTATTTTATTTTTTGAGTACAACATGTGGGGTGGGAATTCAAATTCACAACTAGAGATAAATGTCTTAACCAGTTGAACTATGCTTAATTTGACTCAAATATTTTATTTTAGTTGATGAGCTTCCCATAAAAACAATTCTAATCATTGACAAATTTTTGCCAACTATATAACTTTAAATATTTATTCACTATAAACATTTATAAACAAAGTAAATGAACAAATGTCATACCTATGTTAAGTTTCAATTAAATAATTTATGAACAAATTGACAATGGTGACTATAATAGTGCTGAATAAAAATTAGAAAAAAAAAAGAAGAGAGAGAATCAAAATAAAATATATAATAAAGTTTGAAGGCTTTTATCAATTAAATACCATCATAGTCCCTGCGATTTTAACTTAATTTTAATTTAATCTGTGTGGTTCTTAAGGCTTATTTGGTAACATTTCAAGACTGATTTGATAACGTTCCCGTTTACTGTTTCTTCTTCATGTTTCTAAAATTTGAAAACGATTTCCAAAAAATGTACAAATCGACCCTTAAAACTTAACATTACAAATTGGCCCAATATATTTTTTCCACCTGTAGACCCACTACTTTCCCCCTATTTTTTACTCAACTCTAAACACATGCTAAATTGAAACTAACTTACACTACACAGTGTTTGCGAAGTGTTAAGAGACTTGGGTATTTGACACCCATGATCTGGGTTCGAGTTCTCCTATATCAAAAAGTAAAATAAAATTAAAAAAAAAAAGAACAACCAAGTCTAAAGGATAGCCAAAATAAACATACTCAGCGATAATTGACATATATCTCCAACTAAGAGGTTGTGAATTCGATCTCCCACCTCATGTATTGTACTAAAAAAAAATCGATAGAATAGAAAAATGACAGTATTCTAACATTTGTTCAACAAAAATCCATTTTCCAGATGTTTTTCATCAAAGCTATAGATAATAGTAGTTAACATCTTCACACTTGAACCACTACAGTGTGCATTTACATTCTAAATAGAAGCTATGTCATCTATTGAATGCTCTACATAAAGTCGTGATTGATAACAAAGAACATTTCCCCCTACCAATACTTTTATAAGAGTTCCAAATCATGATTCTGATGATACAATGGGATTTTTTTCTCGATATGCTTCCTTCGTAACGCCATAGTATACCGGTTCATTCCCCATGAAGGTGATGAAATTCCAGCCGAACGCGGATCCGCCAACGATATAGGCCCCAGAAGAATGCCCATCATTCACCCGCTGCTTTTCAAGGTAATTACTTTCATATGACCTTACGGATGACTTATCCCCCAATTTAACGTCATGGTGTGGCTCTCGGGGTCGTCGATTATCTTGATTATCAACTGACAAGGACTGACCATCGAGTATGTTAGTTGTCTTCTCGATGTAAAGAGTTTCTGCAGTTGATGCCATCATCAATTTATACATGTCTTGAAGAAGCTTTATTCCTGCAAGTTTAAGGTGTTTGTTTAGATACACTTCCTAGAAAATTAATTATACAGCATGTCTTAACTCAGATTGTGCCATCCACAATTATTGGTCTTATGGTAATCTCATTCGACTACCATTTTTGCATCACTGAAGAAAAGTTTAAACAAACAAACCAATCAAAAAATCAGAGTCTAAACAGTAGCGAACCAGAAATTTGTACAGATGGCACATTCTACCTATTTATATATATATAATATAAAAACTTAGGAGCAAATTAGAGAAAAAAACTTTAAAATCTTGAACCTTTCTATATAATTCTGTTAACCTTAAATGAACTCAGCAGGGACAATTTCCTTTTTCGCTCCACCTCAGAGTATTTTCTTGAATTTGTCCCACCAAAAAAATAAGTCTGCATTAAGAAAAGCAAATTGGTATTTACTGAAGAGATGCTGTACAAATGGATCAGTCCAACCAAAAACGTCTTTGGGTCTTCAACTATGCTTGGATGAATCCATGAACAAACCCTTTCTGAGAATGAAGACTTAATATAAGTAAAGTGGGTCTCCCCTCCCGTTTTCCCAGACTATACTCCCGTTCGAAAAAGAAATATACTTTTGTTAGCCAATGCTGGACTGGACTAAGTATCTGTGGAAGTGTTAAGAACATCATGGGCCGAAGTATCTGTGGAAGTTGGGGTTACACCTTGGGCGCGTTTGGGATGCAAGTTTGGAATTTTGTTAAGCTTGGGGATTAGGGATCTAAGTAGAAGGTTAGGAAGCCTAAGTTTTGGAAACCTATATTTGGAGTGTAGATTAAGGAAGGGTTTAGAAACATGGTGTAAGGGAAAGCCGGAAAGGGGTTTTGGTGTACCGTACCATTGAAACTTATGAGTTTGTCCACCTAAATACCCCAAGCTTGATAAACCTATGAGACAAACATGAGTTCCATGTCTTAAGTCAAACCTACCTACACTCAAAGCCTCATAAAGACCCAGTTGCTTGTGTGAATTACCATTTGAGGGAGGGTTAGATTATTGGGTTTGATCACTCATTGGAAGGTTTGGACTTTGGATGCTAGGGTGGTTAACAATGCTCGGCACAGAAGTAAAATAATTTCCCCTTCCCTTTAAACCCGAGTGAGAAAATCTCTTCCAAAATTGAAAATTTGGATTGGAGTTAACATAGGTGGGCAGCCGCAAGGCTGTAACAACAGCAAAGATGGCACTGGAATTTAGGAGCCAATCAAGGAAACTTGAGCATGAACTCTACCATGTATTCTTAGGCTTCCCAATTCAAGGGTAAGAAGTCTCTAAAGGTCGCAGTTTCCTTGATTTCATGCTAAAATGAGGGTGATGATTGAGTTAGTATTTTCTTCAAATTATGAAGCTAAAAACATTACGCAATCTGTGCATGGGAGATTGGGGAGGTTGCGTACTCTGTGCATGAGATAATTGAATGGGCTGATCTTAACCTTAGGCTATCAGAGATTCATTTAACAACAGATAGAGACGTTGTTTACTGGAAACTAGAAACAAATGATTCTTTTTCCACCAGCTCCCTCACAAAGGACCTCACACATAGCAACCAAGCTCCACAAACTAGCTTATACAACATTATTTGGAAAGGAAATTGCCCTAAAAAAGTGAATTTCTTCCTATGGGAACTTAGTCACCGAGCCATCAGTACCAACGATAAGCTA